GTGAGTACCCTGTGTCTGTGTTGGGGTTTGGTGTGGGAGAAGGGGGGTGTTGGTGTTGGTGGGGGGGGGCTGCATATCCTGGTTTCTTCAGTGAGAGCCTGGTGTCTGTGTTGGGGCTTGTTGGGGGAGAAAGGGAGGGGAGGGAGGGGTACTGTTGGGTGTGGGGGAAGTGGGACGAGCTCTACCTGTTGTGCTTTCTATGTGGCTTCGGTGAGTACGTGTTGTCTATGTTGGGGATTGTTTGGAGGAGGGAGGGGGTGTTAGGTTTGAGGGAGGGGGATGTTGGTCTGGGTTTCGTGTGGGAGGGGTTTGATGAGGGGGGTCAGAAATGGAGGGTGGGGGGGGGGAGGAGTTTAGGGATGCGTCAAGGCTTGTCTGATCCTCGGGGGGGGGGGGGAGGATTTTAGAGATGGAGTGTTAGGGAGTTGTTTACTCTCAGGGGACGCGGGAGGGGGCTTCAGAATAGGATGATGGGGGGAGGTTTCGTATTAAAAGGTGGGGTTTAGCGTTGGGGTTAGGGGTTGTCTGAGCTCAGGTTGGGGAGGAGTTAGGGGGGCTTAGGGATGGGATGCTTGGGGGGGGGGGGCCTCATCTGATCTCCAAAAGAGGGGGAGGGAGGGGAAAGGGGTCGGGATTGGCTGCCGCACCGACGCTAATCCTTCTCTGGGGTCAGGGTGCGTTTCTGGCGAGGCTGGGGTGCTTCTGTTTACCCCGCTGGTCATGAGGCAAGCACGTACGTTCTCGCCCGGGGGGGGGGGAGCGATTGGCGGCCGGCGAGGTGATTGCAAGCAGTATATGTCGCTCGCCTTCGTATTCGTTTTTTTTTTGTGTGTGTGTGTGTGTGTGTGTGTGTGTCTGTCTGTCTGTCTGTCTCCGCATGTTCGTGACATATTTGGTTCTCGCTCTCTTTTCTTGTTTGCCTTTCTTCTGTTTTTTTTTCTATATTTTCACTCTTTTCCTTCTCTTCCTATTTCCCTATTTCTATCTTTTCTTTTTATCCAATATCTCCCTTTTTATCTTGCCCTGTTTCTCTCTTTTTCTCTTTCCTTCCTTAAAAAAATCATACTTTCTTCACCTTCATCATTTCTTCCCTCCCTCCATCCTCCTTTCTTTGCCTTTTCATCTTTTCCCAGTCATCCCTCTCCTTCTCTTTCTTCCCTTCCTTATTTCCTCCTCTTCTTAAACCATTTCATTCCTTCCTCCTTGTCCTCTTTGCTCCAATCCCTCTCTTTCTTTCCCTCCTCATTGCCCTTTTTCCTTCAGTATTTTTTTGCCTCCTCTCCATCTTGCCTTCTCTCCTTCCTTCTGTATCCTTCTCTCCCTCCTTCCCTCCCTCTCTCCCCCTTACTCCCTCCCTCTCCTTCATCCCTCCCTCCCCTTCTCCTTCTCTCCCTCCCTCCCTCCCTCCCTCCCTCCCTCCCTCCCTCCCTCCCTCCCTCCCTCCCTCCCTCCTCCCTCCTCCTCCTCCTCCTCCTCCTCCTCCCTCTCTCCTTCCTTACCGCGTCTGCAAGCACTTCCTTTAATTTTCGGTTAAATCTCTGGAACACGATAGGTCGGATAAGCATTTGACAGGCCCGACAGTGATTCACCGACGCATCCGACCTTGGGGCCTTAAAGTGTTTTATTCGGTGTCTCGCTCTTTCTCTCTCTCTCTCTCTCTCTCTCTCTCTGGTCTTCTCCTTTCTCTTTTTATGTGCCTCTCTCTCTTGTTTCGTTTTTTCTTTGTATGTGTTGCTGTTTGTGTATTATTTTTTTTTCTTTCTCTCCTTAATATATCCTCTCCTCTCTTCGCTCTTCTTCTCTCTTCCTCCTTCTCTCCCTCTCTCTCTCCTCCCCTCTTCTCTTCTCTTCTCTTTCTCTCTCTCTCTCTCTCTCTCTCTCTCTCTCTCTCTCTCTCTCTCTCTCTCTCTCTCTCTCTCTCTCTCTCTCTCTCTCTCTCTCTCTCTCTCTCTCTCTCTCTCTCGTTTTCTCTATTTGCTTCTCTTTTTGTCTTCTTCTATTATCATCTTCTTTCATCTCCTTGGATATCTGAGCTGAGGCGGAGGTTGGGTAACACAGCCAAGGTATCCTCTCAACAGAAGAGGAGGAGGAGGAGGAAGACGACGGAAGAGGAGAATGAAGAGAAGGAATAAAATGAGAGTAAAAGGAGGAGGAGGAGGAGGGATAAGACGTGGATGAGTATAGGAGAAGGAGAGGAGGAGGAGGAGGAGGAGGAGGAGGAGGAGGAGGAGGAGGAGGAGGAGAGGAGGAGGAGGAGGAGAGAGGATGAATAGGAGGAGGAGGAGGGGAGGAAGAAGCCTCGGTTGTGTCTTCGTTGGTTGGTGATGTGTGTCGTGTGCAAAGGCCGAAGTCTCTGTTCGGTTACCTCGTAATTCTTGCTCGCTGTCGACCGCATTGGCCTTGCAAGATGCAGGCAGGCACGAAATTTATTTCAGGATTTATACACACGCGTACATCTACGTATTTTTATTATTATTATTATTATTATTATGGCTTTTAAAGGGGATGGGAATGCGTGTGTTGATGGAGGCGCATCTCCTTGGGCGGCGCAGCGTTGCAACTCCCATGGGAAACCAGGAACAGTGTGCAATGGCCGCGTAGACGCTCGGCAATACACCTTTAAGGCTCTGTGGAAATTCCGATTTCAAGGTCGTCGGGGTGGAATTTAAAAACTTAAACGCGATCTTGACTCGTGTGGTTTTTAATGGGTCGTGGTCGTAGTCGTTTTGTGAGTGTCGTCCTTGTCTCTCCGTGGCCTTTGACTCTTCCATTTTTATCAGCTCGTTCTTGTTCCTCTTTTGGCGTTGGGATGACTGTTTGGTCTGTGGTGATTTTTTTTTTTTTTTTTTTTTTTTTTTTTTTTTTTTTTTTTTTTTTTTCGTCTTGAGATGATAGGGCTACTATGTTGTTTTTTTCCCATGTGTGAAGTGACTCTTTGGGTTACTGTGAAATGATCTGGTTCGAAGAATCTTTTGTTCTCTGGGTATTAACATTTTGTTTTCATTTTCTCTGTATAAGTTTTACAGTTTTTGACTTGCATGCATTAATTCTTTATTAACTTTCTCGCACTCTTCTTCTCCTGCCGCCTCCTTTCCTCCTTCCCTCCCCTCCGCCTTTCCTTCCCTTCCTCCCTCCTCTGTCGCAACTCCTTCCCTCCCTCCCCTGCCGCCTTTCCTTCCCTTCCTCCTCCTCCTCCGCTTTCCTTCTCTCCCTCCCTCCTGCCGGTCCTTGCCCTCCCTCCCTCCTCCCTCCGTCCCTCCGCCTTCCCTTCCCTCCCTCCCTGCCTCCCACCTTGCATCTCCCTTTCCTCTCTCCCTACCCCCTCATTTTTTCTCTCCTTTGCCTTCTCTGTCTATCCCTCCCATCATCGTGCTCCCCCTCTCCTTCCACCTTACTCACCCATTCCCCGCTCACTCTTCCACTCCTCCTTCTCCCTCTCTCCCTTGCCCCCTCCCATTTCCCTCTCCCTCACCCCCCTTCCCCCTCTCCCCACCCCCTTCCCCCTCTCCCTCATTTACCCTCTTCCACCCTCTTTCCTTCCCCTTCCCTCTCTTCCTCATTCACCCTCCCCCTTCCCCCACCTCCAAGCCCTTCGCCTTCTATACCTTCCTTCCTCTCTCCATATTTCCTTTCATCCTTTTCCTATTTTCTTACTTCACTCCCATTATTTCTCTTTTTTTATTTTACGATCTTCATTCGGTTATCGCTTATCAATTTTCCGCGACGAATTACCCGCACTTCCGCCTGTCCCGCGGGCGTGATGGGCGCGGCGCTTTGCATATCGTATTTTCTTGCGCTTTCTCATCCTTTCTTGTCCCCTTCTCTCTCGTTCTTTCCTTCTCTCTCTTTGTTGTCTTTCTTATGGCTCTCTGTGTCTTTTCCTTTCTCTATCTCTCTCTTTGGATCTATTTCTATGTCTGTCTCTCTCTCTCTCTTTTTTTTTCTTTCAGTCTTTCTCTCCTTTCTTCGGCATCGTAAATTTGAGCTTGATCTTTCCTGCCTTTGTTCTCCTAAAATCTTTCTTTTTTCTTTCTTTCTTTCTCCTCCTCCTCCTCCTCCTCCTCTGTCTTTTCTCCACTCCTTTTGCACCTCCCCTTCCACTTCTGCCTACCTATTCTCTTTATTATTTTTCTCAAGTGGTCTCTCAGAGGCAAGAGGATGGAGAGAGAGAGAGAGAGAGAGAGAGAGAGAGAGAGAGAGAGAGAGAGAGAGAGAGAGAGAGAGAGAGAGAGAGAGAGAGAGAGAGAGAGAGAGAGAGAGAGAGAGAGAGAGAGAGAGAGAGAGAGAGAGAGAGAGAGAGAGAGAGAGAGAGAGAGAGAGAGAGAGAGAGAGAGACAAAGAGAAAGAGACAGCCTGATGTGGGTGTCAAGATTTCGTTCAATAGTGGCCCATTGTGAGAGAGAGAGAGAGGGAAGGCGATGACCCTTACGACCCTTGTCATAAAGGTGAAAATCGCCACCCGACCTCGTGATAACGTGCATTTCCACAGGGCGTGCATGCAGTTGCACTTTGCACGCGCGCGCTGTGGGAAGCAACGCTGATATCGGCTTCACGGGGTTTAGTTGAGCGGAAAATGGACGGAATTGATGAAATTCTTAGTGGAGTTTGAATGTTTCTAGAGAGGGGGGGGGTAGCTAGCAGGGGTGGGAGGGTGGGGTGTGGGAGGGACAGTGAGTGTAGCTCTGGTGCTGGTAGGGGATGGAGACAGTGAGTGTAGGGGATAGGAGGGTTGGGAGGGACAGTGAGTAGGGTAGGGTGTTAGGGTAGGGAGTGGGAGGGACAGTGAGTGTAGGAGGTAGGGGGAAGCTGTATGGAGTGTGGGGAGTGGGAGGACAGTGAGCGTAGGGGTAGGGTGGTAAGGGATGGGAGTGTGGGTGTGGAGGGACAGTGAGTGTAGGAGGTAGGGGGAAGCTGGTAGGGATGGGAGTGTGTGGAGTAGGAGACAGTGAGCGTAGGGTAGCTGGTAGGGGTGGGAGGGAGGGGGAGCGTGGGGGTAGGGG